AGGCGACCGGGCACGATGAGTGGCCCTTTGATTTATTTATACTTGCTCCCGAGGGTACAGCTTCCTGATTCAATTATTGTAATTGTGCCGTTGAATTTTGAGATGTGGGCTGATGACGTGCTCTACGATTAGATGACGTTTAACGCTTAAACTACATTTCGGATGATAGAATTTATTGTAATAGTGAAATTGACTCGAGATAGTCCTTATGTTATAGTAATTGTGCATAAATCTATATTTATTTTATTTATATCTGTCTGATCGTAACAAAAAAATAACAATGTAGTTCGCATTTTACCTTAAGTTTTTGAATTGGACAAAATCAAACATTTTTGCATTATTTAAATTACACGTATATATCGAAGAATATATTTTAATAAACCTAATACATATTTAAATAAAACACTAACGGATAAAAAGGTGAAATATATTAGTTAAACTTATTTAAAAATTATTTCAGCTACGGCCCGACGTTGTCAGACGCTTTGCAGCAGCCGTGATCACGGGGAGGCTAACAATGACCACGGCCCTGTGCTTAAACCATTAAAGTGCTTTATTTAAATGTGTACAACTCGTGTAAACTACAGACAGTATTTTAACCTGAAACATACTCTTGAGTTTTCTCTGTTTATTTTTATTAAATTTATTTTAAAAAAATCTCATATTATATATAGAGTTAAAGCCAGAATGAAAAAGCTTTACAAACCGAGATAGTCGGTTACGAAACATGAAAGTCCAATAACCAACGTATTGAATACTAACATTCTCATTTGAGGTTGATGCACTTGATCGTTACAAAAAGCTCCCGATTCGATTGCTGTACTTAGTAGTGGAAGATGGTGGCCAGTATTAGTTCTCATTAAAGTATACAATACAATCTATGAATATTCAAGTTATTTACTAAAATCAACATTCTTTGTTTTATAATTTTAGTTTCAAGATATCAGTATGTTAATGTATATAAAATGGTAATTATTATCGAAAATTTGTTTATCTATAGAATTATGGTCTGTCTCATTTAGGGTAGTTTACGCGGGTATTACACATTTAAATAAAACACTTTAACTGTTTATAACGCGATTTATATCAGTTAGACTTAATTCGAGAATATTTTAATTACGGTACGGTTTCATTCAAACATAAATACATAATATACATTTTATGATATCTCTCTATATGATTTTTTAACACACCTTACTAAAACAAAATATTATATTTTCGTGATCTAAATATTGGCATTTAGATATCGTACGAAATATATATATACTTTGGGATGTGTTACGTTCTATATTAGAATACGTTTTCAAAACACGTGTTGTTTACCGTTGTAATGGAAGCAAGATAAACACTTACTGTTAGACGACTGAAGGTACATATTAATTAGTTTAATTAACTTTTTATGGAAATAAATTCACATGTGCCAATCAGCGTATTATCGCCTACTCGTATCTATTCGAGTTTTCAGTCTAGTTTACATGCTGAAGAGCTTGCCACCCCCGCATTTACATTACAAAGACGACGGGAAAATTAACTCTGTAGGGTTGCCAGGTTAAAATATTCTAAAGAACAATTCATATATCCTGGTTTTTAATTACTAAATACATTAAAAAGAAACTTTTATATCTCTATAAAATGGATAATCTTACCTAATATACAAATTAAATAACCTAAGATATTTTGGCTGTGAAATTAACAGCCACTTCTTATGAAATATCCGCCGTAGTTGCGCTTAAATGTTTCCGCTTGAGTTATTTTAATTTAAACTTCGTGCATCGGGACTATCTTGCATCTAGATAGCTTCGCTTAAGCAACCTCTGAGTTTAATTATTGATAGATTAGGTTTAAAATTTTACGCATTTTTCGACATACGACGGTCTCAGAGTAGACACTTTTTTATGCTCTTAAGATATATGATTTACGTTAGAGAATGGAATAGGGCTATAGAATGTCAAACAAAACATAAACATACTCAGATGGGTTCCTAAGTATAAGATGCAATTATATATTTTTTCATTATTATTTAACAACATATTTTATCAAATACGAAAATTTCTTAATCATTGTTCTATTGTTTTGAAAAGATATTTAAATTATTGTTACAAATGCTTACATTTAAAAAAAATGTTTGATTGCATTAAAGATCCGGTTTAGACCAGATTTATCCAGATGACATGCCCCTAGGTTTGAATACACTTCGGCCCAGTGGCGCAAAGAGAAACGACCCCCTTACCTTGGACTTAATCATCTTTTATATATTACCTGGTTTTAAATTTGCATTTAAGACCTATTCCTATATATTATGTATAATATAATATCTATATAAGTTTTAGTTAACAACTGTCTTTCCTTCTAGGGAGTACAAGAGATATGTGAAGACATCAGAACATTTCTGACACACAACAATGTTTTATAACAATAAGTTTAAATTAGAAATTACTTTGTAAGACGTAAATCTTGTTATATATTTTTATATTCTAATTTAATAACATCTTTTACTAAATTTTAACAAAAGTATTAGGCTCACCTCAAATCTTAATACTGTGTTTCTAAACTGGCTTTTAGCCACGGTCAATAACCCTTCTTTATATCTACCCCTGCTCGACGGTAAGGGTCCAAATGAATTCGGAGTTAAGTCCAGTGCAATTACGATAAAATATTGCATGATAGCAGTACAAATGCAAAGATCCTAAATAAATAAAATTTTAGATGTCATTCGGAAGCAGCGTTTTTGCTGAATCGTCGGAGGTCCCTCTATTTAAGAAATACTTAAATATTCTTAATATTACTATATACTTTATTTTTAGAGATCTTGTTAAAAGCAGTTGACCTTAAACACTACGATGCGGTCTTCGCTATTATCTATTAATTTGAAACAACAACACTAGATGTAAAGTGTAAGCAGAACATGTAAAGGCTTTTTAGTCTGCAACTACATATTATACAATGGCTGTTAAGTGGAGGCCCACAGATCATTACCTTGTAAATGGTGTTCCGTATAAGGAGGGTTCATTATTGACATTCATGTAAATGTAAAACTGTTGGGGCAGCGAGTTTATAACATCTAGTCAAGCGCATTAAGTGAATTCATACAGGGCTAAAACGTGACCTAAATAAAGACCTTTTGACGGGCGCCTTAGTCCATCGGTAGTAATGTTTAGTTAATAAGAATCAACGGGTTGTGTGTTCGATTGAGTCTCGATCACTGGGCCCGACGTATTTTTATATTTCTTTTCTGAAATTTATACAACTTTTATGGAAATGGGTGGTAGGAATTATAGGATAGTTACCTTAACCTCTGAGATGTTCTAAGCTTAGTTAGTATAAAGTATCTTTAGCATACACTCGCACTATGTAAGTAACATGAGATTATAATTAATAATTATGATTTGTTGGTTATATTTTATTACACAACTTTTCTGTATTATGACTTTATAATTTTAAAACATTAAATAATTCTTATATGTTTTATAAAACAAAGCCCAAAAACGGAGATGATTTATTTAAGCCACACTTGATGGCTTATCAGGACTTGTCTATGAGCATTGATTGTGTTTAGATAAGGCCCCTTTATTTATTGATGTTTGATTCAAAATCCTTACATGTAATATTTAAATTTCTCCGATTCGATTGTGAATGTTGATAGTGTTTTGTATTTATTGTACTACAAACTATGAACGCTATCCATACCCATTTTATATTAACTTATAAAGTAACATTTACAGGAATAAAAAAAAATATAGAAAAAAGGTATAGTTAATTAAGGACTCGATCGTTCTACTATCAAACGGCCTACGCTGCCGTTGCTTTTGTGCCTGCCCAATGCCCAAGTTACAATTTGATTTTTTTTATTAAATTAAACTTTTGTATACGTTTAGTTAAGATAAATATGAACAATTACAGAACCTTGTTATTAAAAATATACACGGTGATTACGAGCATTGTTCCATACGATAATCCTTCATATTAATACTCCTTCGCAATATTTTTATAAAAATACATTGATATTCTCGGAGTATCACTGGCAAACTAGAAAGCTGCAACAACAATCAAGAACATTATTTACCTCTATGCAAAATAGGTAAATAATCAGAATCCTCCATATAACAAAACGTACGTGTCTCGAATAGATTCTAGAGATCTTTCGATTTTCTTGATTTGATGTCTAATATACGAATGCAAGATTTTCTGAACTGATATCTAAAACCGATATAACAAAAATAATCTGACTAATTTATTATTTATTATACTTTATTTCTTTTGCATTTATTATGAATACAATATGCCTCTACTTTACATAAAAATGTGTGAGTCAGTAAACTATCTATTAGTCAGCAGTTTTTGAAAATATTAAATACGCATTATACTGGATTGCGTAAAACTAACAAAACAAGGTGAAGTGGGTCACTGTGGTCGCATACATCAGTAAAATGTATTGTATTAGCTTATCTAACGATGGATTTGTTAGAGTACATACAGATATGGGCATCTACGGGTTCGAAGAGCGGCGATCACAGAAGGATACGAACGATTCGTTTAGTGGGGAAGATAAAATGATTTATTTATTGTAGTAATTTTGCAAGAAAATATATATGAATTTTTTCTGCTATTCTCAAAATATTTTTCTTTTCGTAAAGCGCAAGACAAATTTGAAAACATCCCAACAAAATGGCATGATACGTTACGTTACGTACAACGACTGGTAAAATGTTATAGGTTCATGTTTACAAATATATGCGTGGAACAGGCTTCAATAAAAAAAATGATCACTGGGTTTACGAGACAGTTTGCATTTATGTATAACCTCTACAATTAGCTAAGAACATAACCTAAAATTACCTTAGTTTTGATCCAAATAGTTTTTGAATAGCGTCCTACTTATCCGATTTAGAATAAAAAAAGTTCCACAAACTTTACAACTGTGTGTATCATGTGGATATTCGTCAGGTCGAACCCAAACGTCGGTGATTAATGAGCTGACCCTCTCCATCGACAGATATCGTCTATCTTGGGCTCGCCTTGATTGCCGTGCTGTTTTTGCTCGTGCCGATTGTGCTATGTTCAGGACACTCGTAAATCACACATCTCTCCTGTTTGATGTCTGCTGGTGGCTTGTGTTTGCACTTCCATATTTCACTTACCATGCTATTCAGGCTATAGACACTACACATCTAAAATAGATTTTTGTTAAGACAACTCCCATAAAAACATCTACCAAAATTATTGGATTACTTTTTTCTTGAACTTACCTGAACGATTTATGTTGAATGTACGGAAAAGTATTAATGATAGCAACTTTGTTTAATTCAATATTACCAGTAGCAATTACTCATATCTTTCCCTGTGTTTAAGATAATTACAATCTACTGCTCTAAAGTACTGCAAAGTGACATTAATATGAAAACACCTCTCAGGCATGATCTGACGCATTTATAGGTGCCATTTATTTGTGATTTCTCGTTTCCTAAGTAAGACAACAAACCTTAATTAATATATTAAGAGTTAAAAATTAAGTTACATTATATAAGTGTCTTTTGAAACATAGACTTCGATAAGGATCGTCGTCAGCTTCGTCACATCATGACAACAACGTAACAAGCCAATGTCTAGGTCAACGATACCTTCGAACCTGCCAATTCAAAATTATTATGAAGGATCCGTACAGCATCTGGTACCACACACCAATGACAGCTATAACGCGCTGTATTTTAAAGCTTACAGTCGGCTATCACTGAATCCCTGTTAGAAAGGTAGTGCAACCTATTGACATTATTCAGGGTCACGAACTCGCGACAATCGATCACGATTAACCAGCTGCTGTATTTTAAGCGGCGCAGCGCTGACAAAATAAGCATTGTTTAGTCATGTTTGGTGATCGATCGCTTTTATGCTGAACGTACAAAGGTTAGAAGCTGTAATCTGTGCAGGGGTAGCGCAATGCTATGTTGTTGTCACTTCCCATGCAGGATTCTTTAAAGAAATTACTTCAAACATATAACAATTGAGACTCTTGATATAGACCCGAGGTCCCATAGAGACATACTGATCTTAAGATCAGTATGTCTCTATGCGTATATACTCCCCGATGAAATAAGTATGGTGGTGAAATCGCCATGTTCTTGTAAGTCAATTTCGACCATGTGTGAACTTTAAATGCGCATTTGGTCATCTTTATAGATATTGACCTATCTCATCACATAAGAGACTCGAGTTACTGGTAAAAAACTGAAAAACAACACTCCACTGACAACAATCTCGACAGTGCATTCCTGTGCTGCTTGTATTAAGAACACATAAAACCATCTCTCCCTTTCAGAACAATATGGATGTTAAAATTCACAAATGTAATTTATGAGGGAACTGTAAAAAACAGTAATTACCTCAAAGGGATTCTCTGCTAAGCACACACGTGGCAAGGGCGTCGCCGACTGTCCCCCATTAGGGACGCTCCCAAATCCGTACATTATTTTAATCACACTATACTGCCCGGCTTTTATCGCGTAGTGAAAGAGAGACTGCAATAACAGACTTAAAGCTTCATGTTCATAGAGTTCAAGTTGTTTTAAAATAGGTAAAACAAAAGGAAAACTCGGAAATAACGCGAAATGGTCGTGTAACGTGGATTGTGAACACGCGGTTTATATTTTTTGTTGTGTATTAAATTATCCTTCGGGTTTGTATGTACTATGTAGCTACTATAGGGTATGTTTGCTCCGGGGTATTTTCTCCTACACTTGTTCTGGGTCCCTAACAGTACAAATTTCAAGAGGCGATTCCTTTTAAAATAATAAACATTCCCCGCAATTATAAGGACAAAAATTTGTGTGAGCAGCGGGGGTGAATTTTCGTGGGTCATTTGTTTTGGGAGCCATAAAGAAATGCCGTTACCACCCGCCGCGCAGATTTAAACTAGCTAATGTTTAGCCACCGACACCACTCTTCCCAAGGATGTTGCATATTTATAGAGGTTTTGAATACACAACATCCTTTGAGCCATTTTTACATTTTGCGAATTAATGAGACGATGAATTTGTATTTTGCGTTAATTATACACAGGGTATTTTTGTAGCTATATATGTATATATATGTAATGGTGTAAATTATATATACACGTATCCTAACACTGTTCATTTATTTTAATGTAGCTGCTTTGTATTTTGTTATTGATATTGTTTAAATGGATAAAAAATATGAGAAGGGCTTTTTAACAATGAATAAACAGTTGAATTTCTGTTCATCTTCGACGGCGTCGGTTAAATTATTTGAAAACTTATGTTATTATTCTTTCAGTAAAATAAGTTTGATGAGATTGCATGTTTATAGTGTCGTAAATCTGCTTACAAGCGAGATTTATAGTTATAGGACGCCGGGGCCACAAATTATGTTCGACACAACTCCCTTTGTCTGATCGGCCGATTTTCTGTTTAATCTCGTGGATTTTCGGATGAATAGCTTCGGGAGTGTATTGTTAAACAATGAGATGCGTATCTTTCTTACATAGCGAGATTTTTTCATCTTATTAATGATGTATGTAGTATTAAAAAAAACTATAAACTAAAATTCTAATTATATAATTTAAAGAGGCTTTAAACAATGGTAACCCTAAAACAGGACACTCAGCATACGTTGCGATACGCTTGTGATGTGCTGATTTTCAGTAATTTAAACGATATCCAATAATTTATTTAAGATATATGAATTTTTGTCATTTCCATTTTGATACCTAATAAATATTTTATGATTTCATAAAACTGCGTGCTTTCCTGTCATTCATTACATAATAATTACAATTTTTTATATTCTTAGTGGTCAACTGGGAATCGTATCATATCGCGTAATCTAAATGCGGTCAAGTAAGCAGATAAATCCCTTCCGTACATACTTCAATTCCGATATGTGTCCATCATATTGTGGTCAAATAATACCTGTGTGAAGGATTGTTTATTTCGCCAAAGGGTTACAAGTGGGTGGTTGATAATGTTGCCACTTTCACAGGAGTGTAGCGAGTGGGCTTGCCTTGCCGCTGTGGGAAGAGCTGTAATTGATGCAGTGAATCATACTAGAGAGTTCTGTAGTCTATTGGAAGCATGTGCTAAAAAGTTATTAAGAAATAAACAACATATTAATTAGTTTAACCATAGCAAACTGGGTATATGTAATTGGATTGAACATTTCGCTGTAGTCTATGTAGGCAGCGTGGCCGAGTGGTCTAAGGCGCTGGTTTTAGGCACCAGTCCGAAAGGGCGTGGGTTCGAATCCCACCGCTGTCAAATATTTTTGAAATTTTTCTAACGGTTTCTTTTACTTTTTTCAGGTAATTCGCGAGACGAAGCGTTAAGTACATATCTTGCTAATATTGTAAGGATTTTTTGTTAATATGATACTTTTCCTTTTTATTTTAGTAAAGAAAAGTTAAAGTAAATACAATGTAATAAAATGTCTTCTTACAGCTAAGTAGAAATGTATGCTTACCACCTATAAATAGCTATGTTTTTAGTCGGTCACGTTCGCAGACTACTAAATATGAAACGCAACCGTAAAGTGTGGTTTAAGAAAATTTTTTTCGCCAAAAAAACCCTTTCCCCCCAGCGCCAAACCCAAAATTTACCTTCCCAAAAAAAAAATGGGGGGGGGGGGGGAAATTCCAAAAAAGGTGGGGGGGGTTGGGGGGCCGGGGGGGGGGCCCCCCCCCCCCCCCTCCCCCCAAAAAAAAAAAAAAAAACCCCCCCCCTAAAAGGGGGGCCCCCCCCCCCCCCCCCCTTTTTTTTTTTTTTTTTTTTTTTTTTTTTTTTTTTTTTTTATTTTTTTTTTTTTTTTTTTTTTTTTTTTTTTTTTTTTTTTTTTTTTTTTTTTTTTTTTGTGGTGTTTTTTGTTTCTCCCCCCCCCCCCCCCCCCCCCCCCCCCCCCCCCTCCCCGGGGGGGGCCGGCTGTTTTTTTTTTTTCTCTTCCTGCTTTTTTTTTTTTTTTTTTTTTTTTTTTTTTTTTTTTTTTTTTTTTTTTTTTTTTTGGTTCTCCCCCCCCCCCCCCCTCCCCCCCTCTTTTTGGGCGGGTTGGTTGTTCCCCCCCCCCCCCCCCCCCCCCCCCCCCCCCCGTTGTAACGTAGTAAGTGGTAACAAACAAATCATAATTGTAGAACGCAAAAGCTTTAAATAGTCTTTACAATTAACAATTGGAAAGTTAAGTTTGTCGGGCTCGTTGTAATGTAGCTGTTAAACTAATGGTAGCAATGTATGCTAATGAAGGTATCGTGGGTTCGATTCCCACCAGCATGTTTCTAATGGTTCAATTAATAATTTTTCTGAAACATGCTGGAATTTGTATGGAAATCTGGATATCAAATGGGTGGATTTCCGAGTATCCAAAGCCAAAATAGATCGACAGCACATCTTATCTAAATGCTATAGGCTGGGGTATATCATCTACCATCAAGTGAATGTCTTGTCATGTCTGTCTCCTCTATAATAAAAATATATATATATCTTTGCGTTTTCTTATTTCTACTAACATTATTCATCCGTTATAACTGAACTCTGTCTACTACTTGGCAACGGCATCGAATCGTAATGAAGCCAAGGAAAGAATCTTTTATTCAATGAACTTTATAAAATGTTTAAAAACTTCATATAGTTTGGGATACAACTGTCCCTAGCTAGTAGTAACTTTTTTTTATCGAAAATAAATTGAAAAAATATTCGACTCGGGCAGGACCTGAACCGGCATCGTCAGCGTTCCGTGCTGTAACTTAGTAAAATTGATGACCGCTTTACCAAGCATTGTGTTAAGTTCGAGGAATCTTGGGTTTGAATCTTCGGCGAAGAATTCTTGGTTTCGATCGGGCAGGGAGCAGAAGTCAGACCACCAACTTGTAAATAAGCTCAATCCCCCCACATTGGGCTCGCGTGTTTTAATTTATCTAGTACAATATTTAAAGGAACGAGAACATCGATCGTGTGAACAACAATCAGTGTCGCGTTTACTCTAAAGGCTAAACAGATGCGTCAATACTGACCTTCGAACACATGTGCTAATATTACAACTACACACAGTCAGGCACGCCATACTAATTGTTTGTATGAAACTACTTCGCCGATTAACAAACTGAGAAACGATTTCTGCCAGTGAAAAACCAGCACTTGTAGAAAGTAAAGACTTGATTCGGAGGCTAGAGAAAAATGAAAATCCTTTTTCAACATAATAAAACAAATTAGTTACATAACATACGTATATCGCGTATAAGCAAATATAAAAAGTATGTTAAGGGTTTGAATAAAACATATTTATCGATTTAAAACGCGAAATGTACGTTTAAATTAAATTTATTTAACCACGGCCCGAGGGTTTAGTTATTTAAATTTGTATTACTCGCGTAAACTACAGACAGTACTTACATAATATATTTATAGGAGGTTTAAATTGTTTTCGTTATGTATCTAAAACTGAGGCTTATGTACCTATCTACCTTTTAAAACTTATCATCAGCTGAAACGATTATAAGAATAATTTCCTCTTCCGAAAATGGAATCCACTTAATAATATAGTATAAGTTAAAAGATATCACGTATAGTTCGTCAAATAAATCCATTATAATTGGGTTTCACTAGCTACACGTGTTGTTTCCTCAGCTGAAATAGTTTTATGTCAACCGGATTTAACACTTGAAAGATGGACATGGCGGGTGTTGACGGAATCGAACAGGATATAGTACCCCATTTAAAATTTATTTTCTTATAAGTATTCCTACATTACATGTATATTTCAAATATGCTACCTAAACCTTACCGACAAATACAGATTGATTTGAATGTTTAATAATCCAAACCTAATGATTATAAATTTCAAACAATGCTCTTTATATTTTAATATATTCTAATAATAATATAAAGCTAAAGAGTTTGTTTGTTTGAACGCGCTAACATCAGGAAACACTGGTTCGAATTGAAAAATTCTTTTCGTGTTTTGTTGGTTAGAACATGTATGGAGAAAGGCGATAGGCTATTGCGATATGACTAATAGGAACGAAGAAACAGCGAGAAATGTGGAAAAAAAGGGGAAATGTTCTCTTTGTAGGTTTTACCCTGCGAAAGCCGTTACACATACCCCAAAATGTGTATGAAAGAATGATTTCTCTTTAAATAATCTAAATAAAAATGTCCGCGACACTATATGGTGATCTTTTAAGAATGAATAACTTGCAAGAACGACTGGACACGACTGACGTCGTGGGTACATTTAAATAAAACACTTTAACGGTTTAAAACTCGATATATTAGTTAAACTTATTTGGAAATGATTTTTAACTTCGGCCCGACGTTTCGGATGCTTTGCAGCAGCCGTGGTCACGGGGAGTCGGACGAATTCGGTGACACAGCTAGTCCCATAATAATACCTAAGACGCTAAAGTTTTGTTTCGTGTAATGTTTCAATTAGTACGCAGATGTTCCATACTGCCATGAGTGTACAATAA